GGGGGGGGGGGAGGAGGGCAAAAACAAAGGCCAACAGGTCAGCACGCAACTCAATAGCCACCACTTCCTTCCTTGTTCGTCACTCCGTTGTCATTATTCCGTTTTTTGTTCTTGTTGTTTTACACCCCGCGTCGTCCCGGGTTGTTTTTCCGCCCTCGCTTGCTTCCACAGCCGCCAAGCGCCGAAGCAAGTGATAAGGTTCACGATGTAGGTGGAGCAGCACACCACGCAGAGGTCGTGCAGGATGACTGTCAAGACAAAGAAGAGGCCCACCGACGCAATGCAGCTCGCCGCGCTCATCATGAAAAGCAGCGCCGGCTGTCTGCAGGCGACGAGCTCTGTGAGGTAGTAGAGCATCCCCAGCGCCGCGTTCGACACACGTGGGAGGCCGAGGAGCTGGGTGAGCGCGCCGTACTCGGAGGCGAAGACGCGCGTGCAGGAGAAGACGCCAGCGTCGCAGTATGCGCGGTACGTCAGGCCAAGCTCCTGCGCCCTGGCGAAGCGCTGCTCCACGTAGTAGGCGTAGCTGGAGAGCAGGAAGCCAACCATCACCACAACAGGCAGAAGACGCCGCATCACGCGTTCCATTGCCGTCTCAGAGTCCCTTGTGGGCGTCGTTTCCCTTTCTTATTGTTTCTCCTATGTGTTCCTTTGCCCGCGTTGTCGTCTTTTTACGACGCGGGAGCGCAGTGGCAGGAAGAAACAAGGGGGGGGGAGAAAAGGGCGAGCGAATCGTCTTCGCAGATGCGCGAGAGAAAGAAAAGGGGGAGGTGAGGAGAGACAGCACTCACGCCAGGCATAAACACCCCACCGCAACCTTACCACGCTGCAGGTGTTTATAATAAGGAAGGGTTGTGTTCGTGTATGTGGGTGCGCGCGGATTTATTTCGCCTCCGCATCACCGCACGCACGTTTCTTCACTCACCCTGCCTCATTCCAAGTGTCTGTGTGTTTGTGGGTGGGCGTGCGCGTCTGTCTATCCTCCACATGTTTGCGCTCGCGTGGCGCCGGGGTTTATTCGTCCAACTCCGCCGGGTTGACGGCGCGGATGATGCGTTCACGCAGCAGCGCCGCGTCGAGCACGCCGTCCTCCGACATGCAGCCGTCGAAGCCGTAAATGCGGTCGACCGCCACATCGTTGTGAAAGAGCACGCAGCACGGAAGTGTGCTGATGCGGAGGCGCTCCACGAGGAACGGCGACTTCTCCGCGTCAATCTTCACGAACTTTACGAAGAGCATCGTCTGCGCCAACTCCTGCAGGCGGCTGTCCATCACGCGGCACGTCTCGAAGTCCTTGTGGTAGAAGTGCACGCACACATCATCGCTTCCGCCCTTCTCCCGCACCACGATGTTGAAGAATTCATCCTGCGATATCTCCCTGTACTGGCCGTGCTGCTTCTGTCGCCACTCCGCCTCCTTGGCGTGCATGCGCCGCATCTGCACCATGCGTCTCCGGCGCAGCTCCATCAGCTCGTCGTCGTTGTCTTCGCCGGCGCGGTCCTCCTCGTGCTCGGCGCCACGCTCCTGCCGCTCCTGTGTCTTCTCCGCGGCAGGGTCGTAGACGGGCAGATTGCCATTGCGCGGCTTTGCCTCCACCTGTCGGCGGTGCGTCGGCACAACATCGTTCAGGTCGCGGCTGCGCATGTACTCCTTTGTGCCCATCTGCTCAATGGCGGAGGTCAAGTTTTCGTTGGCTTTGAGGTTGGTGGCCTCATTCACCACGCCGCTGCTTTTGCCGGAGCCGAGCATTGTCGCAGTGGGTCACTTACTTCTTTTCTTTTCCCCTAGAGAGGCACACACAACACGGGAGGAAAGGCGCAGAGGTTCGAGGAAAGAGATTATGAAGCCCTCTAGTGATAGGGGCAGGCATAACAGAGAAGAAAGGCACTCGGGAGGGAAAAAGTAAAATAGCACTCATCAACACGCTTAGCGATACATGCGGTTAATCAAATAAGTAGAAAGCAGGGAACAATTCATTGCAAGCATTCGGCATGCACGTTCCATTGTTCTCCCTCAGACCCCCACACTTACACAGCAACGAAGTCCCCTAACCCTAAATATCAAGCTTCTCCTGATACGTGCGAAGCTGCTGGCGGAAACCCGTATTGGGCGAGGCCACGCGGCGCCTCCGCTGAATAAATGCAATGGCGGCAGCAGCCGTAATGCGCAATTTTCTAATAAGATACGCAGCGGTGATTGTTGGGGCACGAGAGATACCGGCACCGCAGTGTACCAGTATCGCAGAATGCTTATTGAGTGCGTTCTCAACAAAGTCAAATGTTTGGGGGAAAAACTTCGCGATGTTGTACCCTGGCGCGTCATCTGCAGGGAGCGTCATATATTCGAAGTCCTGCGGGAACCGCGGTGTCACGTTGATACAACAGAGCACATGAGTGATATTGTGGCTCTGAAGGTTGGCCTTATCTGATGCTGGGTGGTACGAGCCGACGTACAGCCCCGGTAGGATTTCGTGCATTGCCTGCAGTGCGTACACATCGTTTCGCATGAATCCCGGCAGAGACTCTGCTCGCGGGTCCTCGGCAAACATGTCACGACCACACAGCCACTCCACCTCGGCCGCATCGTTCGGATAGGTCTGCAGCAGCACGGTGCAGAGTGACACGCGGGCCTGCTGGATCTCCTCCGCCTGTACCGACAAGTTTGTTACCGACATGCGGAATTTCTCAAGTGGCTCAGCCACACTCTCAGGGATGTGCGGCTTGTTGGCGGTCTTCTTGCTGGGCGCCTTTACCGCACCCGGATTGGCAGCGTCTGCGCACTGGCTGTCGTTGGCGTCACCGCCGCTGCCGCTGTTGCTGCTGCTGCTGCCGTCATTAGGCGCTGGGCGCTGTGCAATGAAGCGGAGGATAGCAAACACCCGCCGAAGCTCCGCGTCAGAGAGCGTGGTCTCCCGCCGAGGTTGCGGCGGGACAACAGTTGCGCTGAAGGCCGGTGTCTTCTTCCTCATCGGCAATTGCTCTAACCTCGGGAGGAGCAGCTGCGGGAATAGGAGCCGGCGGTGGGATGTTGGTAGGCTTTCCGAGACAGCGAAATAAAAAAGCAAAAAAAAAATGGGAGAAAGGCATAAGGAGGAGAGCCCACATTGGCAGCACGCTCATCAATCATGGCACGAGTCTCGTACAAATATTGTAAGTCATCTTGTCTTTTTGTTTTCCCCACACTCCCACCCACCCCTCCCTCCTCCTTTCCTGTCTGCGGGCTGAGAGCCGGCGGCAGAAGAGAGAGAGAGAGAGAGGGAGATGGTGGCACCGCTACAGGGATGGAGGGAGGCGGACAAGGATATGAAGGAGCCGGCCAAAG